CTATAATAAAAAAATTCTGCACCAATTCAAGATAAATCCAGATGTCACTTACTTTAATCTAGAAGACATTACATGAAATGGGAAGAAAGAAACAGACAACAAACAAGTTAACCAATTATACAGATGCATAGCTATACTACCTTTAATCAAGAAAGAATATTAAAACATATTTATCAGATATTAACATATGATGTGTGCACAATATTCTTCTTACATATATGCATTTTACAAAGAGAAAGTTAAAGTATATCTAAACACAATGCTTCAAATTGACAACTATGATATAAAGTGCATCTCATCATTTTTGGAGACAGAACATATCACATGCAACTTTATTATAAAGCAACTGCTATATTACCAAGCCTCATTTTTAACTTGTCACAAGGAATATTAATTAAAGGCACAATTGTTCAAATATTTATACTCTGTTTTTCTCTCAGGATATACAAAAGATAGAAGCAGTGTCGTGGCCATAGGACTCAATGTTCACACAGCACTAGTTGAGATACGTGAAAAGCTTTCCATTCCCGAAGCACAATGGCCTCAAGCGATTAGTGAGCTTTGCGCTCTGAATCATATAGAGGAAGCTGCTGTTCTTAGCACTTGTAACAAGGTACAAGGCAGTTTCTTCTCACCCATTTAATTCAATGTATCTTGTTCTTTGACTCGAGGAAGCCTTTTCTTAACTATTTTGGGTCAGCGAATTTTGTGGCTTTTGATATTCTCTCTAAAATCTTTTAATATGTCCTTTGAAGGATGTTCGGGACACAAGGTGCTGTTACAGGTGTAGGGCTGTCAATTGGCTACCCTACAGAAGGTGATGGATTACGTGCAGGACTGGTGGTAATTTCAGCTGCTCCAAGCGGTCCTGCAAATAAGGCTGGCATTTTGTCTAGGGATGTTATCTTGAAAATTGATGACACAAGTACCGAAACCATGGGCATATATGATGCAGCAGAGTGCTTGCTGTGAGTTCTCTACTATGCTCGTCACTTAGTTTTCCATGTAACATTTCTGTTCACCAAATATTATCTACAATCAATTAGTGAGATGTACATTCGCCAGTTTTAAACTATTATTGAATTCCTTCTCATAGGTTATCACGCATTGAACCCTTATTTTAGAACTATATTGCATGATTACTTATGCATACAATGTGTGGTGAGAAATGAAATATTAAGACTCGCAGTTAAAAAGTGCATTAACTTTTCTATCATGATATCTATCATAGCAGCTTATGGTGCACTGAATTTTTATTTTTATAGCTATATTCTAAATGATACTTTTTGCCCAAATGGATTATGACAATGACTATTCATCTTTCGAATGTGATTTACTGAATGATACTTTTATAGCTATATTCTAAATGATACTTTTTGCCCAAATGGATTATGACAATGACTATTCATCTTTCGAATGTGATTTACTGAATGATACTTTTATAGCTATATTCTAAATGATACTTTTTGCCCAAATGGATTATGACAATGACTATTCATCTTTCGAATGTGATTTACTGAATGATACTTTTATAGCTATATTCTAAATGATACTTTTTGCCCAAATGGATTATGACAATGACTATTCATCTTTCGAATGTGATTTACTGAATGATACTTTTATAGCTATATTCTAAATGATACTTTTTGCCCAAATGGATTATGACAATGACTATTCATCTTTCGAATGTGATTTACTGAATGATACTTTTATAGCTATATTCTAAATGATACTTTTGCAATTGTTCATTCTTAGAGCAATTCCTTCATGAGCTTGACGCCTTTGGTCTTTGAGGTTTGTTTGATTTTTTTTCGATAGTTCACTTTTATGAGTTTGGCTTCTGGTTTTCCTTCTTCTTCTGACTTAATTTTCTGTTTCCTTCGCTTATTATCCAGGATCGTCTCACCAAATCGTCTGGTATGTTGTTCCTTGTGCTTTGTTTTGTCAATCTTGAAACTAATGTGTGAAGCATGATTAATTAGCATATGTGTTTAACTATGTGCACTGTAGTTTGCTTTGTGTCAGAACATAAGTAATATCAAGGTACTTCTACAAAAATTTATTGTTGTGTGCTTGAAATTCATTATAAAATATCTATAAACCCAACGCAGTGATGAAGACCTCTGTGGTGCTCCACTCTGCTGCGTCAGGAATGTTTTTCCTTTGTTCACACTGATTGAACGACCGATTGACCAGAATAGTGATTTTTTTTTTTTTTTTTGCAATTTATATGTTAATTTTTATATAATCGAAAAAAATATTTTCTGAAAATTTTAAAATTTTTTATATGCTTTAAAATAATTTTGAGTTGTATTTTTAGTTATGAGTTGTATATTTTTGTATCAAATATCAAATGTCACATCAACAATTCCCCACTCAAATCAAAACTCTTTTTAAAATTATTTTTAAAACTCTTTACCAAACAAATTTTTTACACTCAAATCATAATTTTAAACCCCACAAACTCAAAATACAACTCAAACAAATCTTTTTCCCTTACCCTCATCTTTCTACCTATTTTATCTTAAACAAATTGAGCCTTATGGAAATGGAAATTGCAGTTCATTGTATTTAGTGAAAAATATTTCATCTGTCCTATTTTTTTAGTTTATTATTTTATTTTTTGTTGTCCAAAAATTCATATCCATTCTAAAAAGTCAAACCTTTAAATTTAGAAGTTTTCAAAATTGTCAAGTAATTATAAATAGATTTAAAAATAGGAATAAAAAAATATTTTAAAATTTAAATGAAAGTATAATGATTACGTACGTGTCTCCTTTACAAATTAAAATTTTTCAAAAAAGATTATGGAATAAAGAGAGTAATTGCAAATAGACGGAATGACTGGACAAAACTATTTCTACATTTGTCTTGAATTTACCAATATGTTTCTTATTTTTTCAATTCCATTTGCAACTTTGGTTATTGACACCCTCACTTATTTTCTCCAATCCCCCTACTTTTTCTCTGATCTGGTAGGATTGAGAGTCCTATGAGAGCAACGGGGATGTTGGAAAGGAGATAGTGATAGCCAAGGCGGGAGAGAGATTGAGGATGGCAAAGAAGGGTGTCAGTTGTGGTTAGGGGTATAAATTTAACTCAGGCCAGCTCATGTCGAGCCTTGTCACCAGCCAAAATTCAAGCTGGGCCAAAAAATTAGGCCTAAACCCATGGGGTATTCGGCCTTGGATGGGCTGGTGGGCCTGAACATTTTTTTTTGGGAAAATTACTATGTAGTCCTATGTAGGGGATCTATTTCCCTTCTAATCCCAATATATTTTCAATAGATTAATAGGTTCACAGTTTTTTAAGTTTTATACCCAGAGGTCCCGTTTTTTATTTTCGTATTTTGTAAATGATTGTATTACCCTTTGTTTTGAGATGTATATATACGTGAAAAATCAAATATTTGCTTCGTTCAAAAAAGAAAATCAAATCTTCGCCTCTGCGATCACGATTTCTCTTCATTATGGCGATCTCATTGTACTGTGTGGTCAATCTCATTGTGCTGTGAGTTGGATCTGGTTGCGCAATCTGAATCTCTGTGTACAGGCGATCTCCGCGTACGTTCTCTCTCTCTCTCTCTCTCTCTCTCTCTCTCTCTCTCTCTGTGTATCTGGTTTGTATCTGTTGATACATATATGTATGTGTATATATGTATCTGTCGATACATACATATACATATATATATATATATATATATCTCTGTGTGTGTATGTGGTTTGTATCTGTCGATACATATATGTATGTATATATAGATAAGCATATTTGCGTGATATCTGGTTTGTGTTTGGCAATGTTGTTTTAGTTCTTTGTTTTGTGATAAATTTTGTTTGTTTGATACTTATTTATTTGATTTTTGTATGTGATATAGTGTAATAATTTTGATTTTGTTGATTTTGTTTGTTGTATAGTGTAATGTGTTTTGAAGTTGTAGTTTGGAATTATGAATTCTGGTGTTTTGATACTAATATGTTGTAAGTGTATAATTTTGCAGTTTGGAATTGTGAATTGTGCACTGTTGGTACTGATATGTTTTAACTGTATAATTTTGCAGTTCGGAATCTGTGAACAATTGTTTGTTGGTTTGTGATTTTGTAGTATGGAGGAGTGTTTCATGTTAATGTGCAAATACAGTAATTCTTGTGCTGCTATTAAGATTAGTGAGGGATGTAGTTATCATGAAGTTGTTGAGAAAATATGTGCGAAGTTCAAGGAGTTGAGTGTTGGTAACTTTTATTTGTTTTTCTCTATTCCTGGATATTCTAATTGTATTGTTGAATGTGATGATGATTTAGGGAATATGCTGTCAATGGTAGGTGGTAGTGGTTGTCGTGTTGTTGATGTTGTTGTGGGTGATAAGAGAATTGTGGAGGTTGATGATGATAATTCTTGTATGATTGATTCTATAATTTGTGAGAGTTCTTTGGTTAACGATTGTGATGATTTTGGTGGTTTGTTGCCTAGTTTTTATCCAGAACCAGAGAGAGTTTTGTTGTCTGTTGGTTGGAAGGGGATTTTACATAGTATTGGTCAAGAATTTGAAGGTGGAGTGCCGGCGTTCCGCATTGCATTGGCTAAGTATGCAGTTGAGTGTGGTTTTTGCAGTGAATTATTTGAAGAACGATACAACAAGAGTAACTGCTGAATGTATGATGAAGTCGTCTACAGGTTGTAAATGGTTTGTGAATGGAAGGGTGTTGATGAATTCTGGTATTTTTTTTATAATGAAGTTGGATAATCTGCATACTTGTGGGGTTGTTGCTCATAGATCTTGTAGCAAAATGGTTGGTTCTAGACTTGTGTCTGATATTGTGCAAAATGATATTAGTGATAATCCGTTGACTCGTCCTATTGAAGTTAAAAAAAAGTTGAAGAAGCAATATGGTATGGATGTTTCTTATCGGGTTGCATGGTTAGGAGCTGATAAGACAAGAGGTGGGTTGTTTGGTGATTTTGCAACTTCTTTTAACCAACTTTGATGGTACCTTGAGACGGCTATGAGAACGAATCCAGGAAGTGTGTTTGGATTAGATATGGATGAAAGTAGTGGGTGTTTTCGGAGGTTGTTTGTGGCATTTCATGGTTGTTTGTATGGCTTTCAATTTTGTCGTCCGTTGTTGTTTGTTGATGGTACATTCTTGAAGGGGCGTTACAAGGGGAATTTGCTTGCAACAACATCAAAGGATGGTAATCAAGGTATGTGTTTATTTGCAGTTAGTATAGGTTTGGTTTGTCAGTGTGTTATTGTATTGTGAGTCTGTTAATTTTTGCAGTTTCATGTTATTTTGTTTGCAGGTGTGTTTCCTTTAGCTTTTGCGATTGTTGACGCTGAAAATCAAGATAATTGGATGTGGTTCTTAAGTCAGTTGTTAAAGGCTGTTGGTTCAAGTCGGAGATTGACCTTTGTGACAGACCGTCAACATGGATTGCTAGATGCTCTTTCAGTGGTTTTTCCCAATGCACATCATGCATATTGCTTGAATCATTTGAAGAGAAATTTGATTGAAAAATTGGTGGGATTTCGTACTAACTATAAGCTGAGTTTGATAAAAATATTAGTTAAATGTGCTTATGTGTCAACGGTTGCTTCTTTCCAACATTATATGGAGAAATTGAGGCGTATTGTTGGGAATGGTAGAGTTGATAGTATGTTGGATGGTTTGCAAAATGATAAGTGGGCGAATGCATTTTTTAAAGGGAAACGATATGGTGAGATGTCATCTAATGCTGCCGAGTATTACAATAATTGGATTGGTGGGGCCCGTGAGTTGCCTATTACTTGTATGGTTGATATGATTAGGGTTCAAATCATGGCTCAATTGTCAAATAGAAGAGCTGAATCTAAAAGATGGACTACAAAATTGTGTCCAGTTATGGAAAAGAAGTTGGTGGACTCTTTGGAGCTAGCTAAGTCTTGCGATGTGATTGTTGCTAATGATACTGTGCTTGAGGTTCATTCTTCTATTTCTTTTTATGTTGATATTGGTAGATAGACTTGTTCTTGCCATGAATGGCAATTGAATTGTTTTCCTTGTTATCATGTTGTGCATGCTTTGCGTAGTAGTGGTAGAGATGTGTATGATTTCATTGATCCCTTTTTTCATGTAGATTGTTTTAGAGAGTTATACAAGGAATCTGTTTATCCAGTGCTTTCAAGTGAGAGATTTGACTTTGATGATGCCGGTAGTTCGATTATCAAACCTCCTATAACGAAGACGCAGCCCGGGCTGAACAAGAAGAAGAGGATACCTTCTAAGGGTGAGAATGTGAAGCAAATCAATTGTGGGAGGTGCTTGGAATATGGGAATCACAATAAGAAGATGTGCAGGGTTGCTATTTGAGGCCACAGTCTATTCTTTTGGATTTGTATTTGAATTTGAGAAATTATAATAATAAAAAATGTGATACTTGGTATTATGGAAGTAATGAATAAAGTTGGCTGAATTATTTTTTGTTTTTTGATGTGTTCTTTAGTTATTGAAGTTGTTTTGTAACAGTCTTGTTTTGTTTTTTATTTTTATTTTTTTTTTTGTGGGTTTGGTTGGTTTTATTTTTATGGAATGCTGAGAAGGTTGTTGAAAATTTCTTATTGAAATTGTATAATATTGAAATGCAATTTTACTACATGATTCATTTATTTCATATTTCATAGCTACAAAACTGTAAAATTTTGCAGTTTTATTTTCAATTTTGAAATGTAGTTCATCTACTTGTTGAGTCATGAAATTGGATGCATAATTGTGTAGCATAATTTTTGTTTGAGTAATGAAACTGTATAATTTTGCAGTTTTAAGAATTATTAGAAACAGCCTGATGAAACTGCATAATTTTGCAGTTTTAAGAAGCATTAGAAACAAGCTTTACTGTATGAAAATATATGCAACCACAAACAAGTACACAAACAATCAGAAGAACAACCACAATAATAATAACAAGAAGAAGAGCAACAACAACATCAATAACAACAATCATTTTCACCATAATAATCAGAAGAAGATCATTCCCAAAAGTATATAGAGTACTTGTCACATGTTAAAAAAAAAAAAGTACAAAGATATGTTCACTTGAATATTTGTATTGTCAAGAAGTTTGTTCATTGTTTCTATGGTTTGGTATGTTTTGTCAACATTTGGTAGTGCTCGAGTTTCCAAGATTGGTTCTCATCATTGAGGAATTGACTGATGATTTCTGCTTGAAATTTGACCCACTCAGTTGGTCGAAGTGATTTCTACACAGATTGCCAGTTGATATATTGGTTGATAACATTGTAGACGGCGATTGCACAATCATTCCTGCAAAGTTTTAGATGAATTTAATTAGTTAGGTAAAACTGCAAAATTTAGCATATTGGAAGATTAGTTTATTAATTTTGTATCTTACGAGTGTGGGGTTTGTTGTGGGCATTCCTCAATTGATGCAGTTACTGTCTCGCACTCTTGAGATGATAACATGTTTCCTTGATTGCTGAGTAATGTTTTATTCCATCTCAGTTGATGTTATTGCTACAAAATAGTTAGTGGGTGTTTTTGTTAGTTATAGTGATGAGTTGAGATGTTTTTAAAGGAATGGAACTAAATAGGAAATTTTATTTAACTTACAATTTCCTTTGCAATTTCAAAGTGCTTGTTGTGGCATCCTTTTACTAGCCTCAAAGAGTCATAGTGCCTCCATATCCCATCAGCATTGTCAAAGACCACAATTGTCCAATGGTTGTCGTGGTTGATTGGGAAATGGATTTATCTGTTTTTCATTGCTTCTGGAAAATGGTTGTCCATCATTTTTTCTCTCAGTGCTTGATCTTGGTTTTGTAGTGGAGTCTGTAAGTTATATATATGTTTGAAATATGTTATAAAACTATGTAGTAAGACATGTTAAGAAAGTAGAAAATTTTGCAGTTTGAATAATATTGAAAGGTATGTTAAGTTTTGCTTACATTGATGAATGTTAAGAAAATGTAAGATCTTCTCGTGTATGGATTTCTTGTAAAGGTTAGATCATTCTTCTCAAATTCTTCAATGGTTGGTTGGAGTGCCAATTTCTTTTCTGAGAAGGCATCAATGACCTGAAACATGTTATATATGAGAATGTGTTAGGTTTCTAGAATAGGTTATTGAATATGAACAAAAACTGTAAAATTGTGCAGTTGGAGACCTACATTCCCATATAAGGGTTCCCTGTTGGTCAATCTGCATATATCTGAAAAGTATACGCAATTTTCATCTTCGCTGCCATACCAGACACTAGCACTTGATTGTGTGTTGTTGATGAGTTGAATTTGGTCTTGGTCTTTTTTGGATAGGCTATGCCAAACCTTGTTTGTTTTGCGGCATGAAATGGCGAGTGGCTTGTTTTGGATTGATTCTTCCTTGAAATCATCATCACTTTCCAATACTTGAAGTTGTGTCTTCTCTTGATTGGCATCCTCTTTTGGGTTAGTTTCAGCAGCAACTGCTTTCTGTTGGCCAATATCTTCTTGTATCTTTTCTTTCTGCTGTTGTTTTGCTTCATGAGCACCCTATTTTTGCTCGGGTTCAGTAGGAGGTTCTGTCTCTGTTTCGATTTCTTTTTTTTTTCTTTTCATTCTTCTTCTCTTTTTCTTCATCGGTACCCTCTGTTGGTTTGGGTACATCAGCAACAGTTTGTGTCTTGTTCCTTGTATCTTCTTTGGCTTTTGCCATTGGTTGGTATTCAAAATCTAGGTCATGTGCTTGTTTTCTTGACTTTTGTTTGATTCTCTTGACCATTGATCTTTGTTGGGGACTGCCAGTTTTTTTGGTGGACATTTCCTTCAATTGATCTTCTTTTTTATGTAATTCAGCCATGAATTTTTGTTCCATGTCTTGCATTTTTGCTCTCATAGCTGATATGAGCTTGTCCTTGTCGTCCTCTTTGGTTGGTGTTTGTGCTTGGTCATGACCTATAAAAATGTTGGATTATGTTTTGGTTAGTTTAATTAAATTTTGCAGTTTGCTTTAGTATTAGACAATAGTTTACCTTATGCATGAAATATGTCAGATTTCTCTTGGAGTTCTTCTTGTAGGTTTGTCAGTTCTTGTTCATTGACTTCTTGTTGTTGGTTTGTTTTTTGTTCTTCTTGTTCTTGTTGTTGGTCTTCTTCTTCATCAGTGTCTTCTTGTTGATCACCTTTTGCTTCTTGTCTTTCTTCAGCTTCATCATTGTCTTGTTGTTCATCATGTTCTTCTTCTTATTCTTCTTCAGTTTCTTCTTCTTCTTTAGTTTCTTCTTCATCAGCTTCTCCTTCATCAGTCACTTGTTTTTCTTCATCATCACTCTTTTCTTCTTGTTCATCACTTTCTGGTTCTTCTTGTGATTTTTGCTTTCTTTTCTTTTTTTGTTGTTGTTCTTCTTGTTCTGATTCTGATTCTGATTCTTATTGATGTTCTTCTTCGAGAAAGTTATCCTCATCACTGTCTAAAAGTCTTCTCTCTTTTTTTTTGTTGCTTTTGTTTTTTTTTTTTTTTTTTTCTTATTGTCCTTTTTGTGGTCATGTTTCTTTGCTGAAGAGTCTGTTGATGTGCTTTGACTAATATGCAATAATTGTATTTCTTGTTTAGTTGGGGTTAAAACACTTTGGTTAACCTGCATTAGAACAATGTGGCATATATTAGTAATCATAAGATGAATTGTACTGTGAGTAATGTGGGTTAAGTGTCGAAATATGTTTCTTGAAAATGAAAAATTTTACAATTTCATAATATGAGTGATGTGAAATAGATTTGTGCGTTTAAACTGTAAAATTTTACAGTTTCATAACATGAGTGATGTTAAATAAGTGTGTGCTTTGAAACTGCAAACTTTTACAGTTTCATAATATGATTTGTACTGTGAATAATGTGAGTCAAGTGTTGAATATATGTGTAGACACCCCATTTTTTACCGTTCTTAAGACTTGGACGTCATCTTTTGAACACTCGATGATCATCCATGCTGGTGTTCGTTTTGAGTTCCCGAAAGTCTCGGTTGCGCGCCTTGCCTTAGGATCTCTCAACTTGTCTGTTTTGTGCTTGGTTGTGGACCAAGGACTTGTGTTTTGCTTCTGAGGGAAGAGGGTGGCTTGTTGGCCATCCCCTCAACCCATCGACTAACGCATGATGCCATCGACCTTGTTTTTTTGCCATCAGCCAAAAGTGTTGGCCGATCGGCACTCTTTTTGGTCGGTCGGCCATATTTTTAAGCCGAGACCTTTCCATCTGCTTTTTACAGATATTTTGTGCTAGCTGCGACATCTAGTATGCATAATTCCCATCCTCCACACACGTGTATGGAGGGATTTGTTCCAAGACTCAAGCTTGTTGAACAAGCTTGAGAAATGAAATTCTATAAGAGGGGAGCCTCCCCTTCCTTTCCACAGGTTCAGTAAAATTGATATAGAAGTTATATCTCTCTCACTCTCTCTCTATATATATCTCCCTCTCTCTCTATAGTTGTGTGTGTTTGTGCTTGAAAGTGCATTTTGTTCATACTTTTGCACTAGAGCACCTAGTAGAACACCATCATTTGGTTGCTGAGGTACTAGGGAGTTGGTCTTGGTGTTCTTGGGTTGGTTTGAACTTAGAAAAGTTGCTGGAGTAGTGTTCTTGAAGGTGTTCTTCAAGGGTGAGCAACTAACCTTTTAATTCCCCATTCTTGCTTAAGCTTTTAGACCCTCTTGCATATTTTTTTAAGCTTAACTCTAAACTACAATAAGTTCTTATTTTTCATGCTTAAGATGATTGTTTAAGGTCACTTTTTGGTTGGGGGTAGTCTACCCCCTCTTAGGCCTTGTTTGGCCTTGTTTTGTGCCTTCCCTTTTGAGCTTTGGAACCATCTTACTTTGACCTTCTCACCACTGAAATCCAGAGGATTTTCAGTGGTGGAGAAGTGGTTTTGGAGTCTTGAATAGGAGAGGGACACCCCTCTCTCCTTGTCTCTCATTTGCTTGTATAAATGGCTTATATTGGTAGCATGTTTGCATAGCTTCTTTTGGCTTCATTTCAGCAAGTATTTGGCGTTATTTGGCCATGTTATACCTCTGTTTTAAGTTGGTTTGATAGCCTCTTACATTATGCACTTGTCTTGCAATCCTCTCATTTGTCTTGACATGCATCATGCATTTGGACCATCGTGCTTACATATTTTGGCTCAACTCAAAGGAACTTTTAGTCATGTTTTACCATGTTTAAGCTCGGTTTGGTGTTGTTTTAGTCATGCATGCACTGTTTTGTATAGCATTGATTCAATCTAGCTTGTTGGCTTTGAGTGTCTAGGTCATTAGCATGCATTGCTTGGACCTTTTTCATGATTTGGAATCATTTCATACGAGATTTCAGTCCATATAGTGTGGCCATGCATTCACATTTGTTATCTTTTCCATGCATTGGGAGGTTTGTGTTTTATGCCTTAAGAGTGGATCATTGTGCATGCCTCCATGTTTAGGTCTTTGGGATGCCATCTAAGTGGGTTTTTGGGCTTATTTTGACATGCCATAACTCTGATTTTTATTGGTCAAATCATGCCATATTTGGTTGTAACAGGTGTAGTGTAACACCTCTTGTTAGCCTTGCATGCTTCATGCTTTCGGTCTTTTGTTCTAGCTTGTGTTGGCTAGGTTCAAGCTTGTTTTCGGTCTTGTTTTGACCTGCCTTGGGACTATTTTGATTGCCCTCGGCCCTTTAGGGCTTCCTTTGTATAGCCTTGGTTTAAGTCCTTTGGCTAGTCTCGAGCCTTGAGCTTTCTTGCATGCTATACTTGCATTGTTTGGTTGATTTGGCATCACTCCTAACATGATTTCAGAGCTTACCTCATTTGCACATTACCATGTTTGTCACTCCTTGCTCATGTTTGAGAGTTGTGTCCTTATGCCTAGGTGATAGGCCATTACATGTGCATTCTTGCTTTGCATTTCATTCCATCTTTTTCATCACTTTGGCCAATGTTTTTGGTACGGCTGAGGTCTATCCATTTTCAGTATAAGTCCATAAGTCATGCGGTTTGTGTGTTGTTGCATGCTTATCGCATTGCATGTTGTTGCATGCCTGTTACGTTGCATGTTTGCATGTTTGGGTGGCATTGTATTTTGCATGCTTGGCACATTACATGTTTGCATGTTTAGGTTGCATATCTATTGCATATTAGTTGCATTGCATGATGTGGATGCATACTTGTTGCATGCTTGAGGTGTTTGCATGGTTGCTTGCATACTCATATTGTATTGGGTTTGTTTGC